ATAAAATAATATATTAGAAATGCTTACTGCCATATATGGCACCTCAATAGGTATGCAAAAAATGTTAAGTTACATCAAAGAGTTGCTCATTTTCTAAGATACCTAGAAGATCATTTTCATCCTGTTAGAATAATTCTAATATTTTTTGTTAGAATTTTTAAAAATAGAATAGGAAAACTGGGAGAAGTTGCAATTTGGGGTGCTGTAGTTATATATAACAGTATACTTACTGTTATATATTGTTGTATAACGGCATACACTGTTGGAAGAGGCATGGTTGTTCAATGGTGTTCTGTTACCTTGTCTTTGACTGAAGGAAGGGATCTTGTATAGCTTTATTTGAATAAAGTCTAATTGTTGTGTGTTGTTTTAGAAAAAGGAAACTAGCTAGTGAAATAAATAAAGGCATGATCAACAATAATTCAACTTCGTTAATATTGTTAGTCTTAAATCTCTTCTTCTTTTAAAGTTTTTTTAAAGAAGTTTTTGAATTAATTATCTTTTTTAAAAAAGCTTCTGAATTAATTGTCTTTTTTGAAAAAGCTTCTGAATTAATTATCTTCTCAAATATCCATCTTTGTATTTGTAGAAAGTGGGAACCATGTTATTTTGGGTTCAATGTTGTGCTTGGTATAATATTGTATGCAAACTGCAGTTTTGTGCCTTTAAAATACTTTCATTTTATAATAGTTGAAAAGTGGTCACTCATTAGAAAATTTATTCCAGGTCAACTTTTAAAGTTTAAAGGATATTGAATATAAAAAGAATATAATTATTTTCATCCAAAATAGTTGTATTACAAGGATGTTGAATTTTAAAAGCATTTTAAAACAAAGTTATTATAGTATCACTATAAATTTATAGTATTTTTGGCTGGAATTAATTGACCTTTCTTTTCAATTCAGTAAAAATCAAAATGATTTCAATTTTTTCACAATATTTGTAATCATAAGTAATGTAATGTATTATTTAATTGCTATTGACTATATAACTATTCAAATCCTTCAATGATATTTTATTATGATAAATTATTGATTCTTATTGCTTTGATAGAATATGAATACTAGAAATTTCATTATTTAAAACTGAGACAGGCCAGGCATAGCGGCTGACATCTGTAATCCCAGCATTTTGGGAGGCCAAGGCAGGCGAATTACTTGAGGCCAGGAGTTCGAGACCAACCTCGCCTACATAGCAAAACCCTATCTCTACTAAGAATACAAAAAATTAGCCAGGCATGGTGGTGGGTGCCTGTAATCTCCTACTGAGGTAGGAGAATCACTTGAACCCAGAGGGAGAGGTTGCAGTGAGCCTTGAGGATGTTACTGCACTTCAGCCTGGGTGACACAGCAAGACTCTTTCTGAAAAACAAAATAAAATAAAATAAAATGTAATTGAGTTATAAAAATAAATAAAACTGAGACATACCTTTAATTTGAATTCTCAAATAATTCCCAGGCATCTGTACATTGATAAATTAATTGAGAATTACTCATTTCTCTTTTTGAGATGCCAAGGCTAAGGATTATACATGAACAGGAAAGTTTTCATTTTATCCATTAGTTCCTTCCTAGGCACTTGACAGGGCACATAGATTCTATCATATAGACTCTATTTGCTTTTCCTTTTGTTCTCCTGGTTGTGTCTCTCAAATAGTATTCTTTGCTGAAAATATAGCATGGGATTTCTTTTTACTGTGCTTATGTTTACTTTTTCTTAGATAGTATCGCCTATCTCCTATCTTGTAGACTAATCTTTGATTTCAATATTTGGCAAAGCATCTCACTTTTTAATTTTTTTAGCAGTTTGACTCTAAAAACAAACTTTTATGCATTTGCCTTAAACTTTTTTTTTTTTTTTTTTAGAAATAAGTAATTCAGATTTTCAAACAGTCTGATTATCTTTTAAGTTTTATATTTCAATTGACTGTCTTTGGTATTCCTAATATTCTTTCTAGAGTAGGTAGAGTTAACAGACTTTACATGTTTTTGAGAACTTCACATCTTAGGATGATTCTCAAAATTTCTTTAATTGGGACCTTGGCTGTCATAGTAAGTAAAGTGAAAAGAGTAATGTGGAATGCCACATGATGTCACATATATTGGCAATAGGAATTGGAAAGTAATTATAAATGCATTATTGTACTGCTTTAGGTAGGTTTCTGTCAACATTTTCTTATCTAAACTCCTGTTCACATATAGCTAAATCTGGATTGTGAGATTTGCTGTAATATTTTTAGGAAGAAATTTCTAAAAATTCTTACTATATTTTGGCAGCTTTGAAAAGTAAATATGAGAAATACCTTTTGTAACTTCTAATTGCTATTTTATTTTTTGCTAATATGTCACTCTGAATAATGGCAAAATCACATATTTTCATCTCCCAGTTTTAAGTCATATTATTGCTGGAGGGAAGTCCCAGCTTTGTTTTCGTAATTCAGTAAATAATGGGTAGCATAGCTATATTTTCTCCTAATAATCTGTCTTCCCAAATAGGGCAGTTAAAATATCGTTAGATATTAAAAAATGCATTAGAGCCTAGCTGAACAAAATTACCACTTTGTAATCGAATCAAAGAACATTCAACTACGCATCAAAAAGCCTGGATTTTAGTTTTAGCTCTAACATCATCTGCTAATGCGACTTTATGAAAGTTGCTTAAATTCTCTAGCTCTGCTACCTTGTCTTTCACATGAGGAGCTGAACAAGGTGATGACCAGGATTCAGTGCAAGTTCTAAGATTCCATGACTGTGTTTTTATTCATAATAATTTTAGTTAATTATTAAAATGTTGTTATGCTTTCCAGAGTAGTACCTATAAATCAGTACTCTAAACTCTTCCTATAATGTTTGAACCACTTTCCCACGGGATGCTGTGGGTCTTACTGACTCCTACACTTAGGAGTTGGTCTGCTCTTATTTAGTCCTTTAGATCAGGCATCCCCAAACTACGGCCTGTGGGCCGCATGCGGCCCCCTGAGGCCATTTATCCGCCCCCCCAACCCCAGCGCACTTCAGGAAGGGGCACCTCTTTCATTGGTGGTCAGTGAGAGGAGCACAGTATGTGGCGGCCCTCCAATGGTCTGAGGGACAGTGAACTGGCCCCCTGTGTAAAAAGTTTGGGGACGCCTGCCTTTAGCTATTTAGCACATTTTAACCAGAATATCTGACACAGATGAATATTTTATTTTTTGAGACAGAGACTCACTCTGTCACCAAGGCTGGAGTGCAACAGCATGATCTTGGCTCACTGCAACCTCCGCCTGCTAAGTTCAAGCGATTCTCGTGTCTCAGCCTCCTGAGTAGTTGGGATTACAGGTATGTGCCACCGCGCCTGGCTAATTTTTGTATTCTTTTTTAGGAGAGAGGGGGCTTCACATGTTGGCAAGACTGGTCTCAAACACCTGCCCTCAGCTGATCTGCTTGCCTCGGCCTCCCAAAGTGTTGGGATTACAAGCATGAGCCACTGCACCCAGCCCAAATGATTTTATAAGGGTAAAAGACTTCACATCTTAGTGGGAGAATTAAACATCTCCCTTTTTCACTGAAGTCTTACAGAGCATCATTTTTGTGTGTGTCATTCTTGCTAATGAGCCCTAGTTCTGCTTTGTCAAATTTATTTGAGATCAGGCTGGCCCTTGTGGCAATCATTGCTGGTATAGACTTTTCATAACATCCAGAAACTGCAGGCACCACTATATTCGTTCTACTTCCCCATGTGCCTTTTAAAGTGTAGAAGCTGTATTCTAACATGTATCTGAATATCAGGTTACAGTGATATTTGGACTTGAGGCATTTTTTGGACTTTCCTGTCCATAGGTCTCACTTGCATTCCTGTGAGAGCACACACACTCTCAAATGTATATGCCCACACACAAGTATACAATATCTTGTACACATACCTGCACACACACAAGCACATGCATAGTGCTTGACTTTGGACTCTGCGCTTTAACTGAGAGTATTCATTCTTCCTGGTTGTTACCTTCATTCCAGTTTTGGTGAGCTTTGCTGTCAAAGTGGCTGTGCGTCTAATACAGAGTAGCTGCTGTTGGCAACCCATGAACAATGAGCTTAAACAGAAGAATGAGGGTAATGTTTATTGGAATAAAGATTGGGCATTAAATTCCTTGGGGGCATGAACCAAATCCAGTGTTTTCCTGTTCACTGACATTTTTTATATTGATGCTGTTTTGGATCTTCTAGAGAAGGGAGGGGCAAAAAAAAAAAAAAAAAAAAAAAACTTCAGCAAATCAGCTCTTTCTTTCAAAAATGGAATTCGGAGGCTATTTTAGCTAGCTTTTTTTTTTTGACAATCCCGTATTTAATCAGTTTTTACTGTGGTAAAGACAGCCTCGCAAATTTTGTGGAAATCTAAAGCGACGAAGGGTGTTGTTAAGGGAGAAACAGAGTGCAGTTGTTTAAATAATCCTGGGCCAATAGCATTTGGTAGGTGGAGTTACTGTTGTGTGCATTACAGAGCAAGATAATTCTGAATGAAGACTTTAAACATTACACATGCTGGACGGTTTCTGGGTCGGCTCTTTGTGCACACAAAACAAGTGACTAGGTTTTACTTACCATCCCTTAGTGAATGCAGCTTGTTTGATAAGATTTTTTTTAGGAAAAAAACATGTAAAGGATTTATCAGAAGCCCTTATGAATATTTCATGAGTTGATACATTCAGCTGAATGAATTCAGTGAGTGTCAGTGTGTAGCTTGCAGACAAACCTCATCCACAAGGAGGCTACTGACATTGGAAGCACTTTGGCGCATTTTCAGAGGCAAACCCAGCCTGATAAAGCTCCTTGTGACAGCCTGACTTGCCATTCTTCGAGTATGCTGCTCTTTCTCTGAGAAGCTCATACATTGGAGTCACAGCTTCGTAAATTAAACTGGGAATAGTTTGCAGACTTATCAGTCTTCTAACCTGCAGCAGTGTCTCTGCTATGTTTGAGATTTTTGTTTTGGATGGTGAAAGCTAGCACTCCTTACAAGACATGACAGCAAAAGATTCTTCAAAGGAACTTACTGCTTCTGAACCTGAGGTTTGCATAAAGACTTTCAAGGAGCAAATGCATTTAGAACTTGAGATTCCGAGATTACCAGGAAACAGACCTACATCTCCTAAAATTTCTCCACGCAGTTCACCAAGGAACTCACCATGCTTTTTCAGAAAGTTGCTGGTGAATAAAAGCATTCGGCAGCGTCGTCGCTTCACTGTGGCTCATACATGGTAAGACAAGACTTGGAGGTACCTACAGTGCTTTTCAGATTCTTGCGTTAGCGCTAGTGATCTAGCAATGTAGAAAATGTAACATTTGAGTTTTTTTCCTAATACATACCACAAGTGTGAAATAAATAGAGACCAGGTCAGCTGAAGAGTACATAAATGTACTGTGTGCTAAATTGTCATTGTGCTACTAGCTATTTCCACATAAAATATGCTTTTAACTCTAGAGTCTTTAAAATTGCTGCTTATCCGAATACATAGCTAATTCTAGGTAAGTAGAGTTATAGATGAATTTTTAAAGTCAGTTTTTTGTTTCATCTCTGTTGAGGTGGTAGGTGACTTTTTTGTTTTGTGATTGTTAGTGATTTAAATAAAATAATTTTGGGACATGAATAAGTCTCTTATTCTTAGTTCTAATTTATTTTTAAGATAATGTATGAAGTCAAACTTAATTTATTGTGTCACCATGTTTATAGTGTATAAACCAGTGAGATTTTGATTTATTGACTTATCTTTGCACTACTTAAGGAAAGGGAAAACTAAGTTCCTACTTCTGAAATTGCATTGTTACTTTATGATTCCAAAATGCTGTTATTTTTAAGAGCCTCTTAAAGAAAAAAAAAGGACCTTAACATTTATAGATATTTTTGTAATGCCCAGCAAATAAATTCAAGAATGCTCTGTAAAACTTGCACTGAGAGTGCCACCTTTAATGTATATGTTTAAAACGTATATAAATATAATAGGGTAACCTCCTCAAACAGTATAATGATGAAATATAAGGAAAAAACACAACAAAATTAAATCATTTTTACTGTAAAAGACAGGCCACTTCAGATTTTTTGGAGAATATGTTTTCTTTCAGATTAAGGTACCTTTAAAAATTAGGTAGCTGTACCTTAGTTTTATCTAGCAGGGACCATAGCAATAAAGGGAACTTGTACATCTTAAAGGCAATTCTAATACAGTGATTTTGTGACTACATGCTGGATTGCCAATCAACATTATAAACTGAGGAGATCTGATTTTTAAAAATTAATATTCACTTGAGTTATTTTCTATCTATCTAAAATGTTTGTCTGCTTAATCTACTGCATAGTGCATTGGCAAATTAAAGTTACGCCTAGAAAGATATAGCTTGCTTTTGATGGATACCACATGCTTAGCCAACACATTCTTTGCCTGGCATATATGATGTGCTTGTTCTTGCTTTGTGACAATGGACTGTTCATATAATGGCTTTATTGCAGAATTTCTTTGGTAATCTTCTCGATGTATTAAATCATGTTGTTTAATTGTAATCTCATTTTTGCAGAGTACACGTGGTTAGTCTTTCAAAGCCTACCAATGGTGGTAACATTTGTAGAAAGGGAAGGTTTACGTATAAGGATGTACTGATTTGAAGAAGTCTTCTCTTTTGTGCTTTATCCCACCCCTAATGTGTGTGTCTATTTTCATATAGTTTGCTAAGTAGTATAACTGAATAGGGAATATATATATATATATATATATATATATATATATATACTCTAAATTAGTTAGAAAAATTATATATGTAGGAAATATGTGATTAATAGATGAAACATTTAAGGAAATGTTTCATTAAACATACTCAATTAGTTAGGAAAATAATATATGTAGGAAATATATGATTAATAGATGCATATGTTTTCTTACTTGAGTAAATATTAAATCACTAGTTTGACCAAAAGGATATTTTTTTAGATAGCTAATTTTTAGGTAATAATAAGTCTTCTTAAACCCTATGTAATATTTTTCTTAATACAGAGTTTTGGTTCTGAATACAATAGTGTGACCTTTCTTTTTCTTATAATAGATTTTTGATTTGCTAGGAACATAGAGCTATAAATCCTGGAGTTTTTTACTTTTCCAAAGAACCCAAATTTTAAAATAATTAAAGGGCTAGTTTTACTCATGCATTATACAAATATTCTTGCAGCAAGTTGTAAAAGGAACAATTAAATGATATCTGAGGTTACCTACGCTAATAAGATGATTTTCTTAATTGAGTTAAAACAAAATTTTGCAATTGCCAAAAAAGAAAACATAGGACTTTGATATAATGCTCTGTAATATAGATTAAAATAATCTATTAATCATTAAACTTATAAAATAATTTTAGTTATGACTATGATTCATTTTCACCCTTTATTCTTCCAACTCACACATTCCTCTTCTGATGTTTCTCAGTAAAACTATATCACAGTTTGTTTTCAGCTCGTGATTAAGTCTTTATTTATATTTATTTGTATTGTTTTATCTGAATATATGCTTAACATTTTTCAAATTTATTTTCATAAAACATGGAATGAAAATCTCTTTCTGGAAAATAGACATATATCTTACATATTTTCATGATTTTTTTCAAATCTTAAGAATTGTGCCTTTTCCAGGGGAACCCCAATAAAAGCTCTGGCCTAATGCTTAATGCTTTCTTCTTGCTTCACATTTTTGTCTCTTGAGCACCCTAACGTCTCTCCAATGAGTATATGTGGTTCTTTATGGGCTGCCATATCTCCTGTCTCTAAGATTTGTGAGTGTAATAAACTTTTCTTTCTTGAGTCTCCAAAAAATTTTATGTGCTTTTTAACATTAGATGAAATGGTTACATGAGGAAATAAGAGCATAAGTACTTTATTTTTGCCTCTTTGTCATAGTGAAATGTAACCAGCTTTTCACGATCAACGATTGGCATTTTCCAAAGCATGCACTTAAGTTAGAAATTCCAAGATATGCACTTAGAAGTCTCTAAAAACATGTTATTACTTTACAGTAGACAGTAGGCTTCTTTTAAGAAGATTGGATTGTTTTGATTCCAGCATTGAAATTAAAGTAATTTTCATGATGAAGCTAAACAATGCAGAGGATGCAGTTTATATGCAAACCCACTGAACAGTTTTTATTTGTGGGTTTCATATTTTAGTCATATGAATGTGAAGTTCTGGCTTTGAAAACCCAAGTTATGAACGGTAGACTAATGGCAGAAGATTTAAGAAATATTTATGAAATTCTGACTCTGGGATTGTTTAAAAATATCTCAAGAAATGTAGGTATTCAATGTGTTATCACTAATCAGAATATTTACAAAATCCTAAATCTGGAAGGAATTTGGATGATTATCTCATTGCTTCCTTTTACCCTTGGGCAGGACCACAGTCACTCCATCTTTAACATATGGAAATCTGTCCTACTTTTAAGACTCTAAAGAAAATAATTCTAAAACCTCACTTAGTACACAGTCTTACTACTTTATAGTCCAGGTACTGAAAAGTTATTTGTCATGATTAATCTATTTTATTTATATGTTATATATAATCTGTTTTCCACTCAGTGGATATTATTAATAAAAAATGCATAAGAGTTTGCTTGAATCTGTAGATCATTATTAACTGGTGCCAGAGTTTTCTTTTTCATTCACTCAACATATGTAATTGAGCACTGCTGTGAGCATGAAGAGAAAAAAATCTGATTCAACCCACATGTATTCCAACACCTACTATATTTTAAGGTTGTTTTTTTTTTTTTTACTAGGATGTCTGCATATGTTATCTTATTTAAGTTTCATTTGGAGTATAAGTATACTCCAAATTCACGATCCTTTCAATATTACCTGTGGCAGATATCAGAAGTGTTCTGAATTGCTTTAGCTTCTTCTAGGTGTTTATATTCCATTAATCATCATTTTGAATCTGAACCACCATCTCAAATTTCCAAATTTTTCTTTGAATTCTGAAACCCAAAAGTGGATACCACACTCTTTGCTAGATGATATGAAAACATATAGATATGGAGCATGTAATAAGTGCAAAGTCGACGGAACCTTCAGCATTAGTGAATTGGAAAATTACTGCCAGAGTTCTCAGGTAAGCGTAGTGTTTATCCCCAACCCCACATTAGGGCTGACAACTTCTGAAGCACAGTGTTACCCTACCTGGTCTGTATGGCCTTTCTATGCTTGCCTGATACTTGTCACATTGTCCAGCTTTTATAACCTTCCCTTCTTTGTTGATGTCTCAACCTCAGTCATCAGTTCTCTTTCATCATTAGCAGCATGATGCTCTCTGAAGAAAGCTACAGCAATGGTCTTGAATATATCCTGGGCCCACCACACACCACCGCCCCCCCAACACACACACACACACACACACACACACACACACACACACACACACTGCCTCGTTGCATTGCTGCTCTTTTCTGGACCTCTCTTCTTATACTGGTGAGCACCATCCTCTATCTGTCTGTCCGTGCTTGCACACAGGAAACAATATTTTTCTAATTAGAAGTTAGTAGGAGAAAAGAGATTTGTATTTGTTTTCCTCATTTAGTTTTACCTATCTCTATCTTGGAAATCTTTTCTCATTTTAACAAAGCTTCATGAAGTCTTTACTTGTGTATCTGATATTTGAATACAACAGTTTTAAAAGCCATGGTTAGTACTCTAAAGGGACTTATACTTGGCAAGACAACACTGGATTAAGTGGAGGAGTATAGGACAAAAAAAAAACAGTGAGTATGATACATGATTGACCTTTCTCAGAACTGTAGACATGCTTGTTATATTATACAATTTAGTCCTAGTTTGTTAGCTAAATCTGCTGAATCTGTGCTAGCATTATTGATCAATTTCCTCAAATTCTTTCTTGGTAATATTGAAACTTTTTTGACAGATATCTGTCTTTACATATTTATTGATTGAACATTTGTTTGAACAAAACATTTGTTAAGAGCCTGCTATGCACCAGGCTTGGCTCTGGACTTAGGAGACACAAAATGAGAAAGAGTCCTTGTCTTCAAAGAACTCCCATACTAGCTGGAAGACAACCTTGTGAATTAATAAGTAATCCATGGCATGGGAATAATGCTACTGAAGTGTGTTGTTCAACTTGTCACGAGAGCACAGAAGAAATAACTACCACTAGAGAGTGAGTCAATGTGTTAAGGGAAGTTTAGAGAAAAGATGACATTTTTGTGGAGTTGTG